GTAACTTCACCTCGAGGTGCTTCCGACACGGCGGTGGCGCCACCGACACGACGGTGACGAAAGAGAAAAATAGAAAAGAGATTAGAGAAGGGGAGCCCACCTCGAAGCGGAGGGAGGAGACGGAATTCCTCCGGATGAAGTCAGTCTTGGCATTGGGCACCGCCGCATGTAGCATGCAGTTGAGCGACTGCCACTGGTTCAGGCTGATGGAGTCCCCAACGAACATGATCTTCTTCCCCTTGAACCTCCACAAGAAGTCGGCGCCATTGAATCTGCCCAATTTCCCCAGAATTCTCCCTCTTAGTAATGTCGATGGGACGGAGAAAAGACATTGAACGAAGTGATGGGGAAGAGAACTGCACCTCCGCCCAAGGGACGGGGTGCGACTCATTACTTGGGGAGGTCGCAGGAGTCTGGCTTCCACCGGTACTTGAGGTAGAGCTTGTCGGGCCTGCCGTACTTCTGGCAGTCGAATTCCGGTTCGAGGAATGGGCAGCTGGAGGAGTCGTAGAGAGGGTAGGAGTCGTCGGGCACCCAGCTCCCCTGGAACAGGTTGCAGCTCTGCGCGCTTCCCCTCCCCCTCCACCGCGTCAGGTTGTAGTTATGCTCGTAGCCATGGGAAGCCCCTGCTAGAGCACCGCGTTGGAAAGCCAACAGCAGCACCACCAGGCGGACGAGGCAAGGCCCTTGCCCTCCACGGGGAGCCCCCATCAGAGACGAGGGCTGTGGAGGAAGGGAGGGGAGGAGGATCCGACTATTCCTCCGGCCAACCCGGGCTTTAAGAAGACGGAAGGTGGAGACTTGTACGTGTTAGAAGGAGAACCCCTCTGCTATCCACGAATTCCTCTCATTGATGCTGCTCTTCCAGAATGCTTAACGGAAGATATCTCCGGTGACACCTGTGACGCCTACCCTCCAGTGAGGGCGGTAGCAGCAGCAGCACTCCGATATCTGGATTTTCCCGTCCCTCCAGTGAGGGCGACGGGATACCAATAAAAGAAAGCGAGAGTTCTATAATGATAAATGAGGGACGGCGCAGTGCAGATTTGAGCACGGGCGTCGTCCGTGCTCGGCGGCGGGTGGGAGGGGGAGACTAGCTAGCCAGCACGCGTGCCGGTGGGGCAGACCGTAAGCGAGGAAGAAACCCCGTGGGGGATACCCATTCACTCAGATGGAAAACCCGAATCATTAAGCACAGTCCCTCTCCAGCGCCGGATCTCCCGCCGGTCAAGCTTTAGGCCATTTTGCAATTTCCCCGGGGATCGCCCACCGGACGCTGATAAAGTTGGAGTCTTTGAGTAAAAATAAAGAAAGCCCACCGACGGTGTATCCCGTCCGTGACAGTGGCCTGGTCCTCACGTGTGGATCCAACCTGTCAACCCCAGGGAGACGTGAAGCTTTCATCAGCTCTACCGTTGTCTTCTTCCACTCGTCGCCAACCCCGCCGTCGTGCGTGCTTAGTGTAACTCAACTAGGCCGATGAATTCAACAGGGCGTCAACGCGTCAACTCGGTAATTTTTCTGAGTCATTGATGCCGTCAGCCCTTGGGTGAGAAAATCCACGGTTCCGAGGACTGTGACCCGAATGACGGCCGGACCCAACTGACAGTGGTTGTAGGGGAGACCCGGCGGAGTTTCTACCTGGGCAAACCGTGGAGGGACCGCCGGAGGAGAAGGGCTGGTGCCGTGGGTAGGGGAAAGCACGGGGCAGGGATACCCCGCTATCATCGCCCCATTGGTCAGTGAATAAATGTATCACTAGAAATCGATTTATTGTCCTTCAAATTAATATAGATCGACGTTTTACGCCAGCTAGCTCAGCGACGTGTTTAAGAAGTTGTGGGATTGAAGCTGGGGGACCTGGTTAAGTTGGAGAGTGCCCCCTATTGGTTTGGCTGGCTAGCTGGACGGCATCAGTCCGGGAGTGGGGCTATTGGAAGCGTGAGAGACCCCTCCTCTCTTGCCCATTACGGAGTCTACGGTAGGTGTACAAACATTATCAACTGAGCCTGGCCTGGTTCCTTTCGTGGCCCACCTCAGGCCGCACTTCATTCTCCCACGGAGGGGAATCCCCGTCGGATACTTCTAACAGATGGAAGCCACTGTTTCTCTATTGGTACCCTATCGGATGAACATGCCAAGCGTATAGCGGCAGTAAACATATTGCGCGAAGACTTTTCTTCCCCTCAGGATGTAGGGCATCGTTCTCGTTGTCAGGCAACCCTATTCTAACTCTGAAGCCCATGAAAACAGTCAACGATTGAAGTGCATTGTTTTGGACGCTGGCGCGTCGGCCTCGATCCACCTCCATGGGGACCTTCTTTGGCTGTGCCTTCTCCGGTGCAGCTCACATGGAGCTTGCCCTCCCCTCCACCCTGTCGGCTAGTTTTCCGAGCCAGACGGTGGGAAGACGTCCCTGTCGCCTGCCCCTCCAAAACCCAAGCCGAGAAGATAGAAATCCTCTGCACGTCTCCGAGAACATGCACGAGGAGGGACCGGGGGACAGCCGGGACCACTCCGTAAAGGCAGCGCCGGGAAGCAAGCTGATCGAAGCCGGAAGCCTAGCCGCGGAGGAGCGCGGTGTGATTGAGATATCAAAATGTGAGGGGCCTCAAGTGTGAGTGAAGCATTGAGGGGAGTGGGGTAGAGTGGATGGCCTCTATTTATCGGTAGTGCGGCCAACCCATTATGATCTGTAGTCCGACCATTCGATCTCCCCGCTCTACAAATCGAAGCGGGATTGTTAACCCTACCAACCGTTGGACAAAACTAAAAACAAGAAGAAAAAAATTATTCGAACTGGGGTACCCATTTGGAAATATAAAAGTACGCTCGTTTGAGAATTTTTTTTAATGCGACAAACGATATTTTTGAACCATCAGTCAGGCAGTAGTGCCTTCGATTATGCCTAGCAGTAGCGTAGTCAACTGTCACTCTCAAATAAGCACCCACTTCACACTTCTCACTTTTCCATCAGTGTAAGCGGCACAAGGAAAATCGGTGTGCGATGTTGGAGCGTATTTTCTGAACTTTTTCTTTGCGAGATTCGGCCTAATGGGAGGATGGCATGGGCCTGAGCTTGGCACATAGTCTTCGAGAGCATCACGTTTTCATGTGATGAGATTCGACGTCTAGGGCGGTTCATGTGTGGTCGGTCAATAGGTCCGGGCCATTATTGAATATAAATGACGCCAATTCGTCCCTCCTAACGTCATCTTGCTGTCATCCCGCAGAAGCGGTAGGGATGTTTGCGGGGTGGGGTTCTGGATGATGATCCAACTAGCAAGGAAGAGGTGCTGTATCAAGGCGCAAGGATTATTGATCCATGAATGGGTGGGGTCGCAGGAACGAAAAGCTGGTGCCCTGGCGGCTTGGTGTCAACGCAAGCAAGGATTGATAGAACATAATTTATTATTTATAAAAGTTTCCCATAATTGGTTCTCATCTATGTTGCCTTCAGCGTTTATGAGTAGGCCCGGTCGGAAAATATTCAGCGTGAGAGCATCTTCCACGAAGTCAACGCCTGATTCCGACTTGACGAGAAACGCGGAGAAAAAACTTAAGGGCTGAACCGTTATGAACGCCGGGTTCCATCCATTCAGTCGCTATTCGCGAGAAAGACAGAGAGAAAGAGAGATAGAGACTGTAAGTGAGGGACCCGGACAGGGATTGGCCTAATTCTTAGGTTTGGAAAATACCCACCTTCGAAGTTCAAATGATTTGCCTTCTCCAACAAGCCAAAAAAGGAAAAAAAATACCAAAGTCTCCGAAGAAATGTTGCAGTATATCGAATCGGACCCTTCTCACAGTCACGAGAATAGAAGCTTTACCATGAAACTCCGCGTTGACCCGTACGCTGGATAACGTCAATTCTCCGTCTTTTTGTCATTCTATGAAACATTCGAGGAAGTTAACTTTGACCCTCATGAACTTTCTGACATGGGATGAGAATCAAGTCGCCATTGCCATTTGGGCTGTCCCTACTTCGTGAATGCGATCCAGCATCGATCTTGATCGACCTCCACTTCCCTTCTTATATGGATAATGCACAGGGGGACAGACCATAACCCGGCGAAGGCCTGTGCGTCATCCTCTCCCATCGATCAGTGTCCGCCTTCTTCCGCTGCTTTCTGGCCAACATTTTTTCTTTTATTGACTATCGAGCTCCCCTCAGCATGGCCAATATAATAGAAAGGATAAACATTTAAACGTCTCTTCTTTCCTTTCGCTCTGCCGCTATCTCCCTGCTTCAACCTGCTCAGCAACCATCTCCGGGGACTAGGAGGGGCAATGTTACTTCCTTATCAGAATGAGAGAAGCAGCCTCCGCGGATAAAATTAGGAAGTTTTAGGGCCTTAACGGGTGGTTTCTCTATCAAGGCTACTAAAGTCTCGATATTGCTAGCTCTCAAATCCGATGTTTTTTGATAAAGTCAATGACTCGATCACTCCATGGAATTCCAAGCCTTTTTCCCCAATGAGAGAAGAGGTTGATCCTCTAACTGCTGACATAGGAAGAAAGTACTAACTCCTGCTTCTGACTCGCTCACCAAGAACTCTACTAGTGCCTGGAAGGAGGAGGGGTGGATTAAGTACATTACCGATTGGATTTTAAAAAAATTGTGTTGCCCTTTTCCTCCACTCGTTTGATACAAAATATCCCCTTCGGCCATCACTCGTACAGACGAGGATCGAAGGACCATTCGATGATAAGCACAAAAGATGCACAAGGAGGGGAGTCCAGATCGGAGAAGGCAAGCTTTTATGAGCAGCGAGAAGAAGAGGAAGTGGTGTCCTCCGACCCGCTGCCATCTTCCTCGTACGACTGCTACAAGAATATGTTCTCAGAACCACGGCAATTCCCCACGGCTCTCATGAGGTCTTCGGCCCAGCACCATACAGGGATTCTCCTCTGCTGCCCTTCAGGAGGCTTCGGGGATTCAAATCAGATGCTGAGAACTCGAGCAAGAAGGCCACTCTTGAGACATTTTGACGCTGAATCTACCTCAATCGTGAGTATTTTTGCTCTCTGATCAGATTAACGAGGGCTTCAACCAGGCTCTTTGGATCAAATATTACTCCCAACTTTGGGTCCAGGATAGATTCAACAGTGACCTGCATGGAGAAATAACGCTGTCAAACACGTGGGTTAAATGAACCAAAGCAATGAGTCTTGGAACCTAGAACAGTAAGACCCACGAGGTCTGGCAAACAACTGCGAGCATTGAACCTTCTTTCTATGAGAAAAGAGGGACGGGACTGTCAGAAGACTTAACGTCGAGGATGTACAAGGCATGATCATGAAACCAGAACGCATCCACATCATGATCCATAATGAAGAACTAAGTTGCATCAAACTGATGTATATTTTACTCTACCAGCTGCTGAGCAGTTGTGTTTGAACCGATTCACTAGAATTATCTATCCAGGTGGCTGCATGTTCGGTCAACGGAAAAGACAAAGGTAATTATGCAATGTACCAGAAGAAAGAAAATTTGATCAGTACCACATGAAAAATTCCCTGAGCAGCCAAACACTCGGTATCTACGGGCACTTGACCACCTCTTGGCACCAACAATGAGTTGACGTATTCACCAGGCTGTGCATGAACAAAGGACAGAATTATAGTTACTCACTGAAATGTGACAGATGTATCACCAATTATTCTAGTTCTGATGCGCGAATCAAAGAAAAATGGAAGATAAGCAAGGTAATGATGAGTATTTTCATTGAGCTATATGGGTCTCCTTATCATTGAGAGCAATAAACAAAAAATAAAAGTAAAGAAAAGAAAGTATGCGTATTCCACAGAAAACAACAGCATGGTACTCGTACACTTACAAGTTTCTTTAACCTTTTCCGGGGGTCCCCATAGGTTCTGTCTAGTGCATTCGCAATGGCAGTTACAAAGTCGGATGCTGACATACCAGAAGTTTCCCTGTCATGTGACCCGTTTAATAGCAGGACCTACAAGAAATATTGGCCACTGAATCAATGAACAAGGGATCTGCTCCACAGGATAGTTGCCAATTATAGGTAAAAAAGTATTCTTTCGCTGAGACCAGGTAAGAGGACTAAATAGCATAAATTTCTGTCAACAGCAGAAATCCCTCCCATGAAACTTTTAAAACTTCGCCATGTTCTGCATGGGCATCACACAAAACAATTAAGTTAAAACTCTGGGCAATCACCGTCTTAATCTGGATACCTTAGCTGACCATAGTTCGAGTCCTTCCAGGCAGCAGTTATTTGAAAAATTTGCAGTTTACTTAGTCGAAATGAGCCACCTGGGTCCTGGGTAACTAATCTACGATATGCCATTCAGACAATTGTCTCTCATATTTAGACACTTCAACATATTAGTTTCCGTTCAATTTTGTGGAGGTAAGAGCTGTGTTCGACAAGAGAAACGAAATCAGTAGGGCTACAATGATACAAATCAGTAAGGCATGATGTGGTATATTTAAGGGACGTGAACAGGAAGGACAATTAAGTCATGTGAATGAGTTCCACAGGGGCAAGTAGATAGGAGATCAGAGCACTTTGAAAGCAATTTGGCTCGAACCCAATTTGTGTGTTCACCATGGATAGTTATCATCGTTCCAATCAAGCTATTATAATATAATGGTCAAGCAAACACCAAAATAAGAAGCAAAATTATTGGAAAAGAAACTAAATTGAAAGGACAGAATTTAAACAAATTAAAGTTTCAACATTAAAAAAAATACCTTCGGAATAGATCGTGATGAAATAATCTCACCGATGCCAAGCAACACCTGAAATCACTGAATGTAAGCGAAAGATTGATCTTTGAAAACTAAGTAAAAAAAATAATTACAATAATAATAAACTAAATAAAAGTGAGCAGAACATTAGCTTTCAAGTAAACTTTGATGTCACATCAACAATCAAAATAGTTGTTCATTATCTGACGGGAATCAATTTAAGATGCCCTTATTAACCAGGTGGCAATTAAAATGAAGCCTCTATAACAAAATTCAAAATCTTAAAAGAAAAACTCGGTATTATGTAGTTAATTAGCAGAACAAATATGAAATTCACAACAAGGATGTCATTGATACATATCACCATGTACAAACTGTTTGACTGCCTTTGGAATCGACATTGAAACCTAAGAGTCTGAAAGGATAATGGACAGTTTTAGGATGGGATACCCAAACTGAAGTGCCATGGGAAGCCATGGAAACTAAACCATGTTTACCCGGCGTCAAATTTCAATATTTCTTCTCAACTTTTTTTCGCGAGATCTAGACATCCGTAGTAAATAAGGTCAACGATCAACATTCCAGCAATACATCATGATTTTAATTGAAAATCTAAGAATCCAATTCGGTAATTTTTTTCCATTTAGATCCACTCGGTTTTAATCAAAAGCTCGCATGTGCAAGAGTAGTACGCTTTTTTACTGATTCCACACCATAGCGTCAAGCTCAAATCATCTTCCTTTCACTCTAGTTTAAGAAAAAAGCATTTATCCCTTCATGATTCTTTGCTGCTAACAGCCAGTCCCATGGATGCTGCCGACTGTTAATACAATGACCTAGCGACTTGACCTGCACCAACAATCATAAATGCCTTACCACCTCCTTACTCTTCCTATCATCTTTCCTCTTCCCGGATATCAACACACTAAAACAAAGAATGCTTTAAGATTTATCTACGGTGCTTATCTTAGTACAATCATTATGTTAACTTTTTTCAAATGAACACATCGTTAGGTGCAGGGTTTCTTAATTGCACCTTTTTAAGTATGACTACATCTTACATGTTCCCTGTCACTTAGCTTTTACGGATATTCACGTTCAGAAAAATTGAACATTTCTCTGAGTTTTCCTCTATATTGATGCACCCTAACCTCTAACGGTAATTGCTGACCAACAAATATATTATTTTCGAAGGTCACTTATGTTATTATTTTATTAAATAAACTAATCTAAATATGCAACATAAAAGAAAATGAAGAAAACAAAACAGCACAAACAGTACACTATGATAAAAGAAAGCCACTTATTTACTTTACATGCTTACCATCCACCAAACTATACATCAACTATTCCTATATTTTTTACACAGCAATGAACGATGAACACCCTTTTGCAATAGATCTACATTTCCCATCATCTGCTTTATCTCGTGTTCAACCATTGGGAGAAGCTCAGCCGTGGAATTTCATACTGCGTGACATGCGTCATCACATATCATCAATCGTCTCCCTTATTTTTAAGAGTATTGTACATTCATACCACTATCCAGATGGTCGTCTTCTCGTCATCCTTTCCAGTTTGCACTAGCATCACGCGGAATTAGCATCTCTTGTGTTCATAATTAAGCTCATTTTACAAGAATCTAGAACAAAAGTAACAAGGTAGAAAAAAATCAAACCCAATAGGTTTTCATTTAGCATCCAACAAACTAGGAAATTGTTGGATACATTTGTCTTAAGAAATCTCTTTTTCAATTGTTTACTTGCAAAAAAAGTCTGTAAACGGTCTAAGCCTCCATACCTACAATTCTCGATCTCAGAGATAGGATCACCCACATATGTCATCAGAATGCAAATAAACAACATTCTATATGAAATAGAGTATTTTGGGACTCGTGGTTATTTTGGTGGACAGCGCACTATTCTAATCCCAAATGAATACATCGTGCATACCAAACATCACATTCATGGTTTCCTGATGTCATAAAGATTGGGTTCGAACTCAGGCTCCACCTACGCCTTTCTAAAGCATTGTACTTCAATAATAACAGCCGCATATGTATGGACGCAGAAATGTACCAACAAACTGAAATAATATAACAAAGAGTCCAATTCGTCATATTTAAGCAATCAAAAAGAGAGATTTACCAATGATGGGCAGATGGAAGTAAAAAGGGAGCCCATAGCGTACACAATAGAATCGACTTTACTCAATTGCTCCAGGACAATAGGGTTGGCTACAGGGAAAACCTATAAGCCACAGTCAGTGATAGATTGTTGGAAGTGAAAGAAATAAGGAAAATAGCTCATAGTAGCTTTGATAGAGTAGTAGCCAAGCACATTAAAATAAACCAACAGGAGAAAATATTTACGTTGCTTGGTACTGCAATGAATTTATATTAAGCTCCGAGCACAGTATTCTTTCTACAACTTTTTCCCAGTCCTACATGATTACTTTGAACCAGTTAAGTTGTTTACCCCCTTAATATACAAAAGTTTACCTATCCTCTTTAATGGCATGAGAACAATTCGATTTCCAAGCTTAAACCATGAACAAACAAAAAACAACCAAACATGCGGGTGACAAGCAAAAGATTACCCAATAAGAAGATGGAATGAACACTACACTCAGTACCCAAAAGGCGCCAACAAGTTCACTAAGTCAATGCATAGGCTGATGTGGATACATTTTGGGACATATTTAATCATTTAATGACCATCAGGCATGACGACCCTCGATCACTTCATGTTCCTTAATATCGCTCATGATTGCCAAGTCTTCATTAACAAAGAGGACATGTGAGTCTCATAAATCCCTCCATTCTTATTGTGGAAGCCGGGAAATTTCATTGGCTAGTGGTTTTTGGCACTTGATCACGACCCTAACCCCACGTTCCTTTTGAGATGTACTCAGCCCGCTCTCAATTCAATATGCTTCCATCTGACACCAGTGAAAAGAATATCAATCATAGATTCAGCTAGGTGGAATATTTTTCTCCGAAATTCATCATAAATAGTTTGTGACTACCTTCCAGAACACCAAGCATAGATTTTATGCCTAAAAATAATATTTGGAATGAAAATTTTACTTAATAAGAAGAATCGTAAGAACTGGCGCATGATATACAACAGAAGAATATGTTTCGAACAAATCAATAAAACCTCAGAGGTGACGTTAAAAAAAAGAGCAGATAGGGGCATCTCATTGACCTCGTGCAGTAAGTTGCTGCCCTCACTAGACATGTAGAAGACTCGCTTTATTCTTGATGGCAGTGCTGCAGTTGATGATTCCTAAACATGAAATAATACTTGGATGAAACACCTAACAACAAGGGTGTTTAAAATTTCATGCACAGAGGATGCAATTTCGTATCTTTCCACTACATACATGTGAAAAGATTAATGCAAAGAGACAGCAAGCAGGGATATCAACTACAAGCAAATAGCAGCAAACTAACAAATGTTTGAATTAGTAAAATATTACAACTACAAAAACCTGAAATAAGGTAAAAACTCGATTAACAAAATCAATGTCAAAGTTATACCACTATAGATAAGCAATGGACGACAAACTATTTGTGTGTCCACACCGAATAGGTTGACAAGTGTACAAACCGAATAGGTTGACGCAAAACAGTAGGTTTGGCAGGCAATGAAATGAACCATTCGTTGGTTAACTCCTTCGTACTAGACATCAACTGATTTCATCATAGCCTGGCTAGTAGAGTAGGTCTTCAGCCTCTCCACGTAACAAATGTGGTGTTCAGGTTGGCGTGTCACCAAAAAATATTTTTCAGTTAATCTTGTCAACCAGATGACCTTTCCAGTACATCACACCATTAAAAATCTAACCACAGGTGTTCACTGGGAACCGACACGAATTCTCGAAAATTCCTTCTGAAATCTCACTATTTATATTAGATTCTCGACCACTAGATTAGAATGGAATTGCCCCTCATGGTAATTTCACAGCTAAATTTCACAACTAAACTATCCTCAAACTCCAAGTAGGAAATGCATCCGTGAAACGTGGGCAGAGAAACTTTAGTGAACTATGTGAGTAAGATATTGCAATGGTTTAGACTGTATGCCTACTGGAGCTATATCCCGATTCTTGAGATCATTTGTCCATTTTCTTTGGAAATTCCCACTTGACATTCATGCCTTGTAATTAACATATGCAGAACCAGAATGGTAACTTATGCAGCTCAGAGGTATAAGAGGCATAACCAAAATACAATGATGACCTTTTCTTACCTTCCCCATAAACGCAGTTCTGAAATATTCTTATTCGAAAAAATTTCATTTTCTAAAAAATGAAAGCATATGGAAGGTACACATGTTACATGGACTACCTCTCTGAGTTTGTACCTTATTTATTGGTTCCAACAATCCATTAGTTGGATGCGATATTTCGTTTTGTCCCCGTATTATAGTTCCATCCTGATAATATAGGACACAAAGATCATAATAAATGCATGATATTTTTTTACCATTTTGGTAAACAAGGTAAAGGCACCAAGCATACCCATAACTCACATCCCAACGTAAGCCTATCATTGGTGGAGACAACAGGAAGGACAAGACTTTCTGCAGGAATATCTGAAACACGTGAAAACAAAAAGACTGCAGCATCCAAAGACTGGAAGAATATCCGAGCTCCAGCAAAGAAGAAGTTCCCAATGCTGCAAAATGGATAACAACTGGTCAGGACATCTAGAAATGATATCTCACGTTCAAATAGAAACAACACATTATACATTGATCGGCCCACTAATATGTAGGCAGCTAAGACAACACATGCGAATATTTTTCATATTTTGACATAGCATGAAAAAATAGGAAAAGTTCTTTTTAAAAAACCTCAATTACCTTTCAAAAGGCTTCAACTATGCAAACAGAGGACTGGAACCTTGAAAAATTGATCAATCTCAGCGTTATTGGACTAAGTTCCAAGAAAGTTGCCAAACACTAGGGCTTAATTTTTCGACTTAAGGTCCTCTTGCTGCTTAAATGTAAAGGTGGAAGTGACGTTCATACAAGCATTTCCCTTAACAGGTTTTGGAGATGGCAGTGATAAAACATGAAACAGAAATAAAAGTCGAACTACGCTCATACAAGCACATAAAACGACTAGATGACGTCTCCATGACTTTTTCCTCAGGAGGTCGTGCAACCATCATATTAAACCAAGAAAAACATAAAAAGAAATAAACAGAAAAAAATCGAAGCAAACAAGATAAGCAATAGAACGAAAATCCCACTCTCACGTAGTAAGATGCTAAGGGAAAAAGGAGAAACCCAGAAAGGAGGTTGTTCTTGTTCTTGGTCAAGTGTATCTACCAAGCTGGAATGCCACCATCCATTTTTACTACTCTAGACTAGTTAAAAGCAAACAATCTGACTGTTGTTCTAATCATCTTGTATTTCTTTTCCCTACAGCCCACAAGATGGTAAGAGAATCTTCCACCAGTCGAGATCAGTAGCTATAGTGCCTAATCTATTTACATCGTCAACAACATTAAAAAACTTGGTTGAAAATATAAAAATCAAATTCGTTTTTTGTAAGTTCAAAAAAGCAACAAGCTTTTGATATGGTACCCTTCAAAACATATGTTCATCATAAGCAAATAGTCTAGAAGGTTCCACATTGAACGTTTGGGAAAGAGTGGGGATGAACGGTATAAATACCCCTTTCCTTCTAAATAAGGGGGGGGGTATCTTGGAAGAAGAGAGAGATAAGACTGGAGAGTGGGGAATTCTCGAGAACTAATTCCCACATGTTACATTGTTTTTCTCTGTTACATTTTTTCTTGAATCCATTGACATTTTACCTTCATTGACTGAGAGGTGAGGAGGGGATCGTAACAGCTTCTAAGATTAGATAATCTGCATGCAAAATCTCTAGAGCAGAAAGATCTTACCCACCATAAACTTCAATATTTATGGCATTTTTCATAATTTAAGAAAAATGATGACTTCATTTTTAAAAATAGGCAAATAGACGAATTTTCTTTAAAGCCAAAGGCAGGTGGTTCCATTTAAAATCTTATATCGCATTAAACTTTCTGATTTGAAGCCTAAACATTTATAACTATGACCAGTTGCGAAGCAAGACAGATATTAGTAGCCATGTTTCAGAAAGTCAGCAAAGGGATACACTCCTACATGCGCAATTTCTGCAACCACGGATGACGGAATTTCTCAGGAAGAGATACAATAGATTGAAGTGCATGGATACCCTAATATTATCAGTAGGTTGAGTAATTGACAGTCAATGAGGACTTAGGATGGTGAAAGCGATGTAGAGGGGAACAATAGAGCACGAATTCCTGGAAACAAGTTATGAAAGAGAAAACAATGGCTCCACTGTAGAAAGATCGAAAAAGAATTTGGAAATTTCGATAATCCATGGAACTAATGATACCACCTTATCTGATAATATTCGAGAGATATTGTCAAGCAATGGGTCTCAAACACTAGACTTCAAACACATTTTTTTAAGACATTTTTATGTCATGATATAATGAAAAGGGAGACCTATAAAATCATATTTCTATTTTTAAGAAAATGAGAAATACCTGCCATTACTGAAACAAAAGTATTGACTTGAATGACGGAGTATCTGCAAAAAATGTTGTTGTAGAATAAATTCCACAGAAGCCCAAAAACTTTAGGTAACATGCTAACAGAATAGGCACCACATTAAGAAACCCATAGAACATAGAAAAAAGAATATCAAGTACTTCAGATAAGATATGATGCCATCGGTAAGGAAAAAAACGTGTAAAATAACTAAAATGCTGTTTGGTGTCATTCGATCTATAAAGATGCTTATATTGATGGAAAATATAAAAGAAATCCTTTGAAAAACAAAAGAAACATTTGAGCATCAAACTAAAATTTAGAAGAATAAAACATCTAAACTTGGAGCAGAATGGTATGAGGGAACACAACAGTGGAGTGACGTGAAAGACATCCCAACAATCTAACTTTAAAATTGTTTCATTACACAGTTCTCAGTTTCAGGTAGTCAGCCATAAAACCTTTGTCCCGCCAGACCATGCAGCACCTCCCTTTTGCATCCTTATCTTACAATTAGTTGCTACTGATTACTTACAAGGAAAAGAATGAAACAGAAAGGAAAGCATTGAGTGAACAATCATTATTACAAAAAAGCTATAGAAGAATTTACTAGAAGCCATGAAGGAACGCTTTGTATAAGTTTCTTACTTTCACTTAAAATGTAACAGATTTAATCCAATAACCAAATCGATTGAATACCTCATTTTGAAAATAAACCAGAAATGCACGTATCGTTTCCCTGTAGGGTTGTGATACATCTTTCCAAAGGAAGTGAAGCCCTTCCACAATTTCATACCTGCCAAATTTGCAGCTCAGCATAATCGTATCATTCACTTAATCTACTATCTTAACATCAAAAGGCTCAGAGTAGAAAATTTCACTAATTACGATAGTAATTTGCAAAGCAGGGCCATAGTAGGACTGTAACAAGATAAGGAAAAACGCCACAAAAACCATCAATTATACTTGACAGATCCAAGAAGTATAAAAGGCCAACTGAGATGTTTCACCACAATATGTGGAGCTTGTGATCATTGCAGATAACAGATATTGTTGCGTGTTATCTCCTAATCTACTATCAAGCCCACAAGTTCAGAACTTTGTAGATATAACTTTTATATTCATGAGTACGAAAATAAACCTGTGGACCAGCCACCCATCTTTCATTTACAGACCATTAGAGCAATTCTTATTTCAGAATAAAATAACGGTTTAGCAAAGAAAAAATCAGAAATAACAGGTGACAGAAGCTCCATGATATGATGGCAAAGGTGCTAGATTGAATATATAATTGTACATAAAACAAATCTTCAACAATAAGCAAACTGACTTTAAATTTATTCCCTTTCTTTAGACAACCTTCAGCGGGGACAAACCAAAAAACACTACAACCGTGCAAAACCAAGAAGAAAAAACGTTCCATGATTGGGTGCGTTAGAACTTTCAGCACTCATTGAAGGCAAGAATCCTCCCCGTGTACCAGGGGCAGGGGCTGAAACATACACCCCAGTTTTCATGGGCATACAACTCCTCTTAGTACTGCATCATTGGGATGGTAAAAAATTGTAAAAGGTGTACTCTTTATACTAAGCCATCTGCCAAAATAGATCACAATAATCTTTCTATCTTTAAAAGAATCAGAAGCTGATACTTTAATATTGAAAAAAATAGCTGATTTTGCATAAAAGAATCACCAGAATCATCATTCGCATATTTGTCTGTATCATTAATGTTCAATGCCCTTTCTTCAGGAAGATAATAATCAAGTATATAAGGATTAAAAAAGAGTAAGCCACTGTTCCACTTTTTGCTGCAACGATTTATATATGCTGTGACTAAAAAGACAACTAAAACCTAAAGTTGTTTTGGCCAAGTAACAGAAAGAACTAGCTTATTCATATCCAGCAACCACCACATATCTGATAGCAAATCTTAGCTACATTTAGATAATAACTTTTTCTATTTTCCTACCCAAATTTCTTACTTCATTTTAATCCACACTGCTCTTTCTTTTCTCTCCTTTTTCCATTTCTTCCTCTCCATCTGCTCGGTTATTACCTCTTTTCTCCCTTCCTTCTGGCTTAGATCAGCATGACTGGATTCGCCATCCAATCCGATTGTAGTCCAAAACGAACTGACTCCAGATACTAGCCTACCAAAAATCCTTTCTCAAAAATGCAGTTTCAGATGTTCAACTAAAGGATTGTCACGAGCATCAAGGGCAAGCAGCCAAAGCATTTTTGGCAAACTATGACCACATTTTTCGGGTAAATATGCAACCCACTACGATTTATGCTTTTGCTACAGTCAGGATCATCTTCCACATATACGTTAGTAACAACCATCCAGCACTGACATTGAAAGATACCAAGTAACACCTCGTTTAAAGTATTGGTGTCCACGAATAGCTCGTGTGAAGGAATAGAAACCTATTGAAATTTCATAGAGAGCATCCAAGGTATTACAAGAAGAGAACCCCAAAGTTTGATAGAACAAAGAAAGAAGTCCGAGTCTTTTGATACCATTCTCTTTTAGCTAGTACCGCATCATGGGGTAGCCGATGCCCAAGAAGCCTACGAACAGCAAGAGCTTCGCAAGTACTTTCGTCAGACAATCTCAGGCATCTGGACCGAATGTCACCAACAGCTGGTCCACCTGTAAAATACCTGTTAAATGTACCTTCTGTTAAGGAATAAAAAAATCTCAAAATCCATTATAATTTTTTTATATTGGTAACATAAGAATCCATTAACCCACCAAGCACACTAACTATCTCGGCAGTACTTCCTCCATCGTCAGAAACAGGAAGAACATGTGCTACACGAGTTGTTACCCTCTTTAACTCCTCTACAACACCATTGAATGCAGTGCCCCCTGAAATCAACCAAGAAGACGATATTAGCAGTAGTAAAATAAATATTTACTGAGAAATTTTCGGATAACAAGCTTAGGAAAATCAATGGAAGCAACACAAAAACCGTTGCCAATTGAAAGCATCCATCTATTGAAAATTGCTTAACCAATGAGGGAAACTTAAAAAATTACACGTAATTTTTCAACCTAAGAACAAAGACCTAAGCTATCCTTGGATACCTAAGGAGTGACTTTTATTAATACTGGAGTTGAGTAGAAGGTGTGCACAAAAGCCCACATTGGGGTTGAAGGTATAGAAAAGTCCTGGATTAGTATTCAAGAAAAAAATCCTCAAATATTATGGTATGTCATTACACTATGAGATGGCTTACTTTCAACAAGCATTTGCTGAAAAAAAATCAAATAAAAAACCTGTTTCAATAGGATCTCAACATGTGATCATAAATAAGAAACAGAGTAATAAAATGTATCGATGGAGAAAGCAGGTCTGATAGTTCGTATCGTAGTGTACCTTTTTGTGCCAAGATATCCCTAACAGAGTTTTTTAAAAATAAAACTAAAAATCAACCCAGCATTATGTTCGCGTCATTTCGATCCCTTCCTAAGTATGAGGTGGTCCTCTCATTTAAATGAACATTAAATTTCCCATTCTCGCGCAAATGCAGCTTAAAAAGAGGGATAGGATGAAGCAAGAATGCAGAGCGCTATGTGGAAAACGAGATATCTCCGAAAGAAACTGAGGACTGGCCTCTTTCATTTCCATCTCAAGGAGGATCGGCACAGTACAATGCCACGCTCGCTGTCACGTCGAAAAAGAATAGAGTCGCGTCGAATGCACAAAAGATTAGGCGTTGCTAATGATCACCGGTACACAACTACGAATCAACAAATCGAACTTCGCTTTCTGGGATTCGAAAGCCAGCCATGCTGCTGACCTGAGAACACCAAAAGTGAAGGCTGCGCTTGGTCGTCGTTCTCGTTTGATAACGGCGCCGCGCGAGAGGAGTCTCCGCAGCGGCAGGCCATGCGACGGGAGAACCGAAGATACCTGGTAGAACAAAAGGAGCATGAAGAGTTGGGTTTTCTTCCGGGGCAGGGAAATGTGACAGGCGACGATGGCGAGGGCCCCGACCCGCTTCTGAGGGGCGGGAACGGGGGCGACGAAAGGAACTTGGGCACGAAGGGCGGAGGGGTTCGGAGAACCCCAGGTCCCACCAATCCATCCGCCATAACTCTCTCCCCGTCCTACAACCAAGCCCTGCCGTTCAGTTCTTACCTGTATCCTCCGCTCCTTTTGGCTTAGATTAGGATGGACGGATTAGGCCTCCACATCTGATTGTAGTCCAAAACAAGTTGATCCTGGATACTAACCTGCAGTACTTTCAGGATCCGTGGAACACCAAAAAGAAGCACTGTGACAGACTTAGAGCTCGAGGGTGAGCAACCCACCGAAAATCCCTCGGCAAAGAAATGCAGCTTCAGATGAACAACGACAGGACTGTCACAATCATAGAGGACAAATAGACAAAGCATGTGGGGCAAGACTGATGATTGCCCATTACATAAAGATTTAAGCTTTCGTTACCGTCAGAATTATCTTCTATGTATCAGTTGGTAGCTGCCATCCGGCACCGACTTCCAAGAATACAAAGTACCAGCTCGTTTATAGTGGGATCCAATAATAGCTCATAAGAAGGGATGGAAACCTTTGGAATCTATTTAGATAACCACAAAGTTGGATGGAACGAAGAGAACAGCCGAGTCTTTTGATACATGAAATAAAAAACCCTTTAAATCCATCATAATATATTTATATCAGTAATATATGAATTCACTCACCCAACACTAAGCAAACTAACTTTCTCTACGACGCCATTGAGCATCAATAAATGCCCAGCAGAAAAAAAAAAAGAAACTTAAAATCAACCCATTATTATATCCCCATCATCTCGGGTTATACTCACATTTGAATTGGCATTCCAACATTAATGCAGCTTAAGAAGAAAGGACATGAGAACCGAAGATACTAAGCAAAATCACAAGGAGCATCGAGAATTGGGTTTGTGATAAGCGACGAGTGCCAAAGCCCAGACCCGCTTCCTAGAACGATCGGAACTGCACGCACTTAAAAAAGAGCGTTTTTTTTTTATGCGGGAGACGAACAGGAACCCCAGCAAGCAACGCACAAGCATGAACTCAATCCGCAGAGATCAGCAACCGCCTGTAGTTCAACGCGCCTACCAACGAGTGTCTTTGATCAACAAGCGCGCCTTTTTTTTTGTGTCGGAGACGGCGGGCGTTTCAACTCACGACTGAATATACACACATCTATGGTTCAGACCCTTGTATCATCCATTCGGACCGTAACATTACTTGCAGCCTCCTCTACAGATTTCTATAGTATGCCACTTCACTATGGGACGACACATTGGCATTATTATTATTATTATTATTTAATGTTCATTAAATGATAGATCGTAATAAAACATATCGAAGGAAAAAAAAAAAAAAAGGTATAATAAACTTAGCCCACATCATTTCGGTCTCATCTGAGTGTACGGGGCGCCATGAGAAAACATTAACTAATAAGCAAGGATACGGAGCGCCATGAGAAAAACGAGACATGTCCAAGGGAACTGAAGATTAGCCGCTTAAGGAAATGAAGTGAGAGCTGCAGACGAAAAGGGCATACAGTGCGAGGGGGAAGTCTCCGCAGCGGCAAGCCATGCATGCGACAGCAGGACCGAAGATACCTGACGCAGAAAAAGGAGCACAAAGAACTGGGTTTTGCTCCCCGATTGAAGGAAATGCGACGTGGGGTGAACAAGAGGCCTCATAAATCACAGATTCCTATTGACCACGTACCAATGATTTTATGCTAGTTACAGGGGAAAATATTCCCTCGTCATGCCGCATCATATCAATGGCATCATACCACTGATGCCATTGATAATAACACTTTTACATTCAAAAGCACACCAAAATCTTCTCAGGGGAAATATACACGAAATTTCTACACTCAATATCATACGCGTGTTACTCTCAGTATCACAATATTACCTACTTTGGAATCTTGATACCAAATCGGGAAAACAAAAGACAACACCTAATTTAATACATATATATATATACATAATAGAAGGGGACCCTTTTTATTTTTATCTTTAAGACATAAAAATAATTTGATAAATGTCAGACAATTTGATAATAATTCCAATTATAAAAGAACCAACCTAGTTTGATCATATACGCATAACATCAAAGACGAAACCCAGAAAGCCTTCTTCCACAAAAATCCCCAACAAAGAAAAAATGGCATTATGCAAAGATTTGTGCTATTCAATTTCATTAATTCGTCGTATGACAAAGAATCATAGCAGCAGTCATCGACTGAAAAAAAACTTTGCGCTGCGAGAACAGCCTAAGAAGATTTCTTAAAGATGAAAGATGCAAGCAAAAACGATTGCCTCCAAGTAAATATTAACTCACAGAGAACATATGCAAAGAGTAAAACACCAAGATATCTCTAGAAACAACAAAACAGTACCCGTACCAAATAAATGAAAAGTTCAAATAGCAGAATACGTAACAGAGAAAAACGAGGGAAAGCCAAGGATTGTAACAATCTATACTAGCTGGAAACAGATAACGATCACTAGTTCCAAGATCATCAAAGATTCTAGAAAAAAGTTACAACAAAAATCATAAAAAAGACTAAAGAAAACGAAAAATTAAAAATAAGAACTGAAAGACCATTATTTTAAAATTTTAATTCAGAGAGGGGGCATCGAAAGGTCAGAAGGAAAATAAAGTTGGAAGAAACATTAAATAGCCAAAGCTCATAGAGCAAGAAATTGATGAAAGAAAGCAAAGGATATTTTACTGTACGTTCAAATAAAACTACATCCTAAGAAATTCAGACACTCATAACATGCACAAAAGAAAAAATATTATATAAGAAAAAAACAGAAATGGCTTCAAACATGCTCCAAGCAGAATATTAGTGTCAATTAGTAAGCTCTACTTTGGATCCCACGTACACAGGGGGGCCACAACACAGCCAGGTTGAAAAACAGTAATAGCTTTCTAAACTGGCACAAGTACGAAAAGGAGAAAAAGGAGAATCACCTGAAGATGAACTCAAAACTTAACCAGAAAACAATAGTAGATTAAAAATTAACTTCAATCCACAATGCACCAAAAGCTTTGAAGAGTTATTATGTGAAAAAGTGAGAAGAAAAATACACAAAATGAGGAGAACTTACATAAAAGTAACGTCAGTATAAAATCAATACTCTAAACTTCAAAGTTCACCTCTCCGAGTTACAACAGGAAAACTAGCTATTAAATCAAGGCTTTCACCAATTTTGACGACCGAAATAGAGCACATCTCATAGTAGAGAAGCAACCAGACAGTTTGAAAGGGACTCATCAAAGCAGGAAATATGCCCGCATTCAGCACAATGAGTTAAAGCATTGGCTCCCAAGAACGGCATACACCTGAATAATACACATTACAACTTAAAATATATTCAAAGTACCGCAAGGAAAACTATCACAAATTGACAGAAACCAAGCATGCCCAGGACACATAACCAGACGTAATACAAAATACCGTTGAACAAGCAAAAAACTAGGCACATCCAGAAGATCAAAAATAATGTTGTATCTTTAGAACAATGCTTCGGCCGCATATTAACTGACGTCCCTAACACAACGGCCTTATATGAGAAGCTTAAGCCACATTATTTCGGCCCATTTCGGATTTTGGAACGTACTAAGTTGGTCGCCTACAGACTGGATATATCGTCCTCCAACAACATTCACCCGGTGTTCCATGTGTCGCATCTTAGTCTCCAACAACATTCACTCAATGTTCCACGTGTCACAATTCAAGAAGGCGAATGCCCCAACCCTACCTACACCGATCTCGAATCTGCTCGCACCATCCACTGACTGGTTTCAGAGTTTCACCTCGAGCAAGACGACATCCAATGGAAGATAAGGTGGGCAGAGAGTTAAATGCACCTTTCTGTAGAGGAGATACCAGCGTCACAGCTCGCGAGCACATACACGAATTGAACCCATCAACACACAGTTGACTCTTGACGAGCTCACTTATACGACTCTTAGGTCAATAAACACGCCTTTCTTTCATCAACTGAAGTCACAACTCTTGCGCGATAAACGTTTTTATGTATGATAGACGGGTCGTGAATTTGAACCATAAATGAGACATGATAAAATGCTATTAATAAAAAGGATAAAAAGAGTTCAAATCAAACTTCATAGATGAGAAGAGATGGATCTCACGTATATCTGCATCATAATATCATTTGCAACTTCCTCAGCGCTGAATTGGCACCAAATCAATCACCATCATCCACTGATTGGATCAAAACTACAAGTTATAATATTCCACTACACTCTGAGATGGGGCATTCGCAGCAAACATTTGCTGAAAAATTATCAAAGAGGATTTCAACATGGGATCATTAGATATTAAACACTGAGCAATGAAGCGTATCCCCATGTGACACACCTTCTGAGTCAGCGGTGGCGATGACAGGAAATTAGGCATGAAGGGCAAAAGGACTCGCAAAACAGAAGACCACACGAATCCATCCAATAACCTAGACCTCTCATCCATCTCCACTCAATTTCATCCATTGAGGATCGAAATATCTCGTCAATCACCGAAAATCCCGCACAAATTATTACTAGATTAGCGCACCGATATAACTTCTTCTTTTGTTAATCAGCGACAACCCTTTTTGTGAACAAGGGTTACAACTCCACAAACTAGTAAGTCACACAACCCCACTGTGATTTTATTTACTTACGAGATAAAATATTTCCCGAAAAGTAGACTTTACCAGTAGCGAGTACACACCCATAGATGTCGAAGACTGGCTAACAAGAGTTTTCCCCTTGTCCTGCCGCATCATCGCATCGAAAACGGTATAAGAGAGGATATATATTTCTGGCTTAAAACGTAAGAGTACCATGCGCAATTTTGCGTTCCACCGAGGAACTAGATAATGCCCCTTGACGAGTACAAGCTCCACTGAGTGGACCTGACAAAGCAGCACAACTGGCCGCATGGAAAAATATGCGCCGCATAGCAAAAGTCAATAATAATTACACTCTTACAATCAATATCACATCAATGTCTTCTTCTCATTAAAAAATTCGGGGAACATATATATACGGAATTTCTACACATCATG